TAAAAATCCATGAGAACACAGGGAGAACATGCAAACTCCAGACAGAATGATATAAATAAAAACAATAAAAAAACTTTTTTTTTAATTTAATATAAAATACACAAACATGTTGAGATATCACAAAAACTTTATTAGAAGTTAATATGCAGTTTTGTAAATCTTAACTTCATAGATTCTCACTCACTTTACTTTTGGCGCATTCCCTGCTTTATCAGGGGTCGAACTACAGCAGAATGAACTGTCAATTCTGGCATGCACTTTAAATAAGATTGGGTTCCACACAATTTTTTCGTTGTCCCAACACAAATTCATTAAGTTAACTGGATTGAACAAAACAATTAAGTTGACAAAGAAAAAAAAAACTTTAGAATTGTGTTGATCTGCTCCTTTTAAATAAGAAGTTTGAACAAGCAGCAAAAATCTTATCTTGAGCGTATGTTTTACTGGGAGATGCCTTTCCAGCCACAACCCAGCACTGAGAGGTCAACCCTAAGTGCTGGAAACACTCAAACACTCACCCATTCACACACTACAGCCAATTTAGTTTATCCAATTCACCTATACTGCATGTCTATGGACTGTGGGAAGCCAGAGCACCCAGAGGAAACCCACACAAACATTGGGAGAACATGCAAACTCCACACAAAAAGACAAAAGTTTCTTTATGGCAAAAAAAGCGCATAGAAGCAGTCTAGACTAAGCTCTACCCTCGGAGAATAATCAGTCTTTAGCAATAGATGATTGGCTCCTTTAATCGAAGACGGGGGTTTCGGTGACATGTCTTGTGAATTTTAATTTAAGGAAGACTGAGGGTGCTTTCACACCTGTGAATCGATTCAGTTGTTCCGAAACAGAGATTACAATTGTTACATTGTTGCTCTTTGCTCTTGAAGCGGTTCGCTTTCACACTGCAATGTTTCTAATCAGACCAAACGAGCTAAAACAAGTCACGTGTGAGTAAACTCTCCTTACATTGGTCAGAGTGTCAGGGTTTATTTTGCAGAGTCCCGCTCAGCTGTCAGGAGAGGTGGTGGTTTGGTGGTGTTTGACAAGGTGCGCGCGACGTGTCTGAAAAGTGAGGAGAGATGCGGTGGGGAGCAATAGCATCTGGATGCAGCCTTTATGATGCAAGCTGAGATTGCATCACTCAGTGATGCTGATTGAGTGACATCACTGTGACGGGTAGGGTTAGGGGTGGGTTTAGGTGAACGCATTAAAAAGCATTGGATGCAGCTCAGATTGCACTGCACCGAGTCTGTAGCCAGACCCTTCTCGTGGGGAGTGGTGAGAAGGGTGCGTGATGTAGCCTATTTGAGGACCGGGAGGGAGACACAAGATTACCGGGAGATTTTCACTCGTTTGCGGGCATCCGGAGACTTGCGAAACTTCCCGCCCTACTCATAATTCTCTCTTCATATAGCCGTATGCCTATTACATATCCATAAAACACAGTTATATAACAGTGCTCGGATCGTATCACTTTCTTACTGCAATCGATCCGCTCCAGAGTTTGTTTTAATCGAACGAGACCACCTCATTCAAGCAATCTCGGAGTGATTGGATCTGATTGGTGGTTTCACATATGCCAAACTAACCACGCTAACTGGGCAAACGAGACAGGTTCCGAAACAAAAGTGTAGGTGTGAAAGCACCCTGAGATTCAGACCAGCAACCTTCTGGGTTCTGTGCTAACCACATAGCCACCATGATGTTATTTTAGAAAAATTCTGTGTCTCCATTTTGGTGTATAAAATTTGATGTCAGTTTAAGTAAGTAGGTCAGTTTTCTACTAACATTATAAGACACGTTATTTATTTATGTTTTTTTTTTTAAAGATTTTTTTTGTGATAGGAAAGTATTGAGACAGGAAGCGAAATTGAAGAGAGAGAGGGGGGTAGAGTGGCGAAAGGTCCTCAAGCCGGGATTCGAACTCAGGATGCCCTGACTAGGCTATTTTGTCAAAAATAGACACATTATCAACGCGTTATTCAAAATGTATTTTTTGAGTTGCTGTTTTGTGCTTTTAGTATACTTCTTTGCTTTTGTTTTAATATAAAATGTTCACGGATGAGCATTGAGCAAATCAAAGTTGAATGAATACAGCTTATATTTATAGATATGGAATTTAGCTCAACGTATCACATATCTTAATATTGACTTGACTACATTAGTTACTTGAATGAAAGTGTACATGAACACTACCATGCTGTAGTTTTGTTTTTTAGCAACTACTGTAACTGAATAATTTAATCAGTAATATGGTACAGTAGTTTTTCTAACATGTGTAATCTATCTAAGAATCTGTTAGATGCCTCCAGCTCTCCCATGGTCACCTGGTCTGGCAGCAGCTGTTTTCGTCCCCACACCTCACCGCCCAAAGCAGAGCTTGGCTCTGAGCTGACAGAATCTGCTACGATGGTGGGGGCAGCTGTTGCTGGAGGTTTATTTATAAGAAGTGATTCCACAAAAATATACGATTGCCTTCTAGAAGAGTAGTGGAGATTGATGCCTCTATGTGACTGTAATGCAGAAGCTCATTGTGCAGTCAGAAATGCAGTTTTAATATATTGTTAGTTGTATTAGTTGGAGTTAAAGCTTGTATGTCCAAACCAGCTGCTGTCATTATTACTAAAAATACATTTTTAGCATAATGAAATGCTGCATTGTCAAACTTGGTATGTGTATGTATGTGTTTATATATTGCCAAACAATAATCAAGCTCAAAAGGTGTTACAAGGATTTTGAAAAGATAATTTTGTCCTTCAGTGAGTTTCCTTCAGTTATAAAGCTTTTGTTGGTACACATTTTCCTGTCCTTGAATGCTTTTGACCAAAATCTCATTATTTGAAAGATTAAGTGGAATGCAGAGAACATTTATGACAGTATTTGTTGTAAAAGATACACCCAGACAGTCTTTTGCACTCCTCAAATTTATAAATCATTAGCGTTTGAAGATACTGGGCCCTATCATACACCCGGTGCAAGGCGCGACGCAATTGTAGTTTCAGCTCGGCGCAAGAGTTGTTTTGACATTTTGCACCACGCTGTTTAAATAACAAATGCATTTGCGCTCATATGTGCGCCCATAGGCGTTCTGGTCTAAAAAAGGAGGTGTGTTGAGGCGCATTGCTGGCGTGTTGCTATTTTGAGAAACTTAAATATACTGTTCAATAGACCTGATCAAAGCAGGTCTACAGTCCAGCGCAGAGCATGTTATTTGTTCGCCTCGCTTACACACTGCTTAACACACACAGGATGTACAGCAATACGCAAATATCTTTACAAATGAAAACGAATTAAAGGATTAAAATATTACAAAACATATTATTTTCTAGCCTACATAAATATAAAAACCATACTTTCATGGCTTCTTCATCTCGAGGGGCTTTTTCAGTTCATTCACAACAAATTGTCTTTTGAATATTGTTATTATTATTAGCAATATTATTCATTATATGCATATTTTTATTTGGTTTATTAAAAACAAGCTTAGATTTGCCAACCTGTCAGGTTTTAGACCATATGGGGCACAGCGTGTGTATTAGGATATAATTCGTTATTATTGTTCATTTATTTGTTTGCTGGAAAATAGAACTGAATTTAGAAATAGTTTTGAAACAAGTCTTTGCACTTAAGAAACGAAATTAATTATGTAGGCTAATGGATGTCTGTGCATACAACACGTTTCCTTATCCTTGAGAGTGAAAGTGGAAGGAATAAATGAGGAGGCTTATCTCTCATTCTCATGCTGTACATGCTCTGTTTAACTGTTTTCTCGCTAGTGAAGGGTTCGGTTTTTCCACTTACAAAGTCCATCATGTAAATAGCAAATGCACCATGGAGTGACGCAACCAGCTCTTAAAGGGAATAGGAGATGAGACTCTGATTGGTTTATTCTCAAAGCACACCTATAACTCACTAATTGAGTAAGCTCAAGCCTGTAAGACCATGCGCCATGACGCAAAGCGGATTTTCCGTCGTTAAAATAGCAATAGTGGATTCTGACATGCCCTTATTGCACCCTGCGTTTTCGACTTTGGGCCTAGATTGTCAAAATAGAGCCCATTGTGTCTAATAATTTAATTAATAATTATTGTGAAAAGCTATACAAATAATCTTGAATTTTTTTTTTTTTTTTTTTTTAATATAACTGTTCTATAAAACATTTGCGATCCTGCTCATGCTGATATTTGAGTAAACTTATCTATGAATCAAAAATCCAAACAAATTCGATTTTTTTGGAAAGCAAGTTTATTTATATAGCACATTTCATACACAGTGGCAATTCAAAGTGCTTTACATAAACAAGAAAAAAAGACAAGTATGAGAAAATAGAAACAAACAAACAAACAATAAAATGATTAAAAACAGATTAAAATGTTTTAAAACAGGTTATAAAAGAATAAAAAAAAGAAAAACAGACATAATAGTATGGTCTGTCGGACGTTGCACAGTGCTCATTCAGTAAAGGCACAGCTAAACAAAAGGAAGGGAAATTACATATGCTTAAATAATATCATAATTATTTCCATTCAGAAAGTCTTCATCTCTCTCATCAGGTTTTTAGACTATCGAGAAATGTTTTTTTTTTCTAATGTGAGTGACATGCTGGATAATCTCAGGGTGCATATCATTATAACAATGTTTACGGTAATATAGTAGACAATAATACATCTTACACACCTCTTGACAAAAGAGAACCCCTTGTCATTTACTACATGAACTAACAAAATTAAATATCATCTTGTGCTCCACATGATATAACCACATGGACCGCCACTTTAAATTAAATAAATTGCTATACTGCATATGGAGGCCAATCTCTCACCTAGAGGGCCAGGATGCTCATCAGATGGATGGTATTTTTGCAGATTGATGTGCTGTGAGCTGTATCAGGTTAAACTCGGTTATGTAATCAAGATGTTCTGACAAAGTGTTGATGAGCGCTTGAGTTTGGACTCTGACTCAGCTCTGTTTGTGTGAATGTGTGTGTGCGGCAGGTTTTGCTGGTTAGCAGCAGTCGACACCCAGATCAGTGGATCGTTCCTGGAGGAGGGATGGAGCCGGAAGAGGAGCCTGGAGGAGCTGCGGTCCGAGAGGTTTATGAAGAGGTGAGACCTGAAAATTCAGCTCCAGCTCCTCAAGTAGAGGAGGAAGTTACAGAAGGTTTGAATGAACCTCCAATACCGCGTTTGATCACTCCTGTCTGGAAATCTAAACTGTTAAAAATAGGCTATAAAGTGCAGATTTTAATTGCAAGTTCAAATTAAAGTTTTGTGGTTTATTGCAGGGATTCCCAAACTTTTCAGACTGCGACCCCCAAAATAACAATGCCAGGGACTCGCATAAATACAGAAATCTTGCACACAATGGCGCACACACACCAGTAGACCCAAGTCTGTTCTTCGTTTAATTTTTTTAATGGATGTCAAGGCTGTAAATGTGCCAAAAGGTTTAAACTGGTATTATAAAATCAATCTGCTGCATGTGTGTCTTTAATATAATGTAATTACCCCAGGGGTTGCAATCCAATAGAACAACTATAAGCTACTATAGTACCTATTTAGTATATAGAAACTATAAAAAAAATTTTATGGATAAAATATGGTAATTTTTTTGGTTTAATAAAAAATAAATAGATTTTTGGAAATCACCAAACCCCCCCCCCCCCTCCCCCCCCCCCCTTTGAGAACCACTGGTTTAATGAATGGCCTAAATGCATCTATTTTAATTGAAAAGAAAAGTTAGCATTTTCAGGCAGCTAAGCATCGCTGCTGTTGTTGGTAAAAAGTAAATTATAAAAATGCAAATAATAAAAAAAGACATTATAATGCTGTGCAGATTGTGAAAAGACGCCCACAGATCAGCACCTTCCAAGCTTTATTTTAATTATTTATGATTAAATTAAGCATGGAAGGTGCTAATCTGTGGCCGTCTTTTCACAAAACCATTTTAATTTTTTTTTTTCAATAATTAGTATTTTTATAATTTACTTTTAAACAGCAAAAACAGCTAAATTTACCTTTGATGGGTTGCAGCTGGAAGGGCATCCGCTGCGTAAAACATATGCTGGATAAGTTGGCGGTTCATTCCGCTGTGGCAACCCCAGATTAATAAAGGGACTAATCCAAAAATAAAATTAACAAAGAAAATAGCTGCCTGAAAATGCTAACTGTACTTTTCAATTTTAAAAGATGAATTTTGTCCATTTATTAAATCACCAACACTCAAATTTTAACTTGCAGTTAAAACCTGCTTTTTTAAACCCCATTTATAAAATATACATTTGATATTTTGTGATTACTTTTAAAGGGGTGACACGGTGGCTCAGTGGTTAGCACTGTTGCCTCACAGCAAGAAGGTCGCTGGTTCGAGTCCTGGCTGGGTTAGTTGGCAGTTCTGTATGGAGTTTGCATGCTCTCCCTGTGTTCGTTTGGGTTTCCTCCGGGTGCTCCGGTTTCCCCCACAGTCCAAAGACATGCGCTATATGTAAACTAAATTGGCTGTAGTGTATGTGTGTGAATGTGAGAGTGTATGGGTGTTTCCCAGTACTAGGTTGCAGCTCGAAGGACATCCACTGTGTAAAACATATGCTGGATAATTTGGCGGTTCATTCTGCTGGGGTGACCCCTGATATATAAAGGGACTAAGCTGAAGGAAAATAAATGAATACTTTTAAAAATTTTGTCGGTATCTGTTTTTAATATATATTTTCACACATCTACATGGTGATTTTTGTTTTTCCTGCTGACTTTGAGTTGGTTATCTTTTTTAATAGATTTAGCAAGGACCTGTTAACATATTGCAAAGGATTTAAAATCAAAACAGTTCTGTTAAACTGAATATTTATCAAAAAAGATACATTTCAAAAGTATTATTTTTAATAATATGTTCAACAATGGAAATCTTTTCTTGACCACCAAATTGCCATTTTCAAAGGATTTATTAAGAAGGATCATGTTTAACTAAAGATTGGAGCAATGATAATTGAATGATTAGCATCTTTAATTATTCCTTAATTATTCCTTGTGTATATATAAACAGTGGGGGAAATAGGTATTAGCATCTTTAATTATTCCTTAAAATACATATACAGTGGGGGAAGTAAGTATTAAACACATTTTTCTCACAAAAAATATTTCTAAAGGTGCTGTTGACATTGTTTTTTGTTTTTTTACCAAAGAAATACCTATGTTTGCTTGGCTGTGCTTTGAATCATTGTCTTGCTGAAATGTCCACTCTGGTTTCTTCTTTATCATCCTGGTAATGTAGATGTTGGACTGAAGCAGCGGATATTAATTTACACTGACGAAGGGCGGAAGGGCAGAGAGTGGCTGAAGAACTTCTGAGAGATTTCAGCTGCTGTCTGGGCTTTCACTGCCTTTCTACAGCTCCCTTTCTTCATGTGTTCAATGCTTTTTTCCTGGGTTATTTCATTTTATTACACATAACTTCATTTGTAAACGAACTAGATTTGTTTTCTTTTCATATATGCAATTCTTTGTTTGTTATCAACATCTGGTGAAAATCCGAGTCAACAGCACCTTTAGAAATATGTTTTTTGAGAAAAATGGTGATGTGTTGAATATTTCTTCAATGTAAATATCTCAAATCATCTGCAAATTTTTTGAAACTGTGGTAAAGTTTCACAACATTTTACCTTTATTCATATTTAGCAACATTCATGTTTCCCCAGTTAATCCATATTATTGATGTATTTGTTAGTGTAAAAAAACAACATTATCTTATTTTTACTGGTTAACTGAAGATGGTTTGCATCATCAAGTGCTCTACTGGTTAATGGTAGTCTCTTGGGTTGTTGTTTACAGTATCGACATGTTTAGGTGAGAGTTATGGTTTGCAGCTGTCCCATATCTTGTCACCAAGATGTTTTTTGCTTTACACCATGCATACTGTGTGTTGCATGCTTAGCAGTATATACTATTCTATTTTTAAAAAAGTAACACAATACAGCAAGCTGCGACCAGTCATCATCGTGGTTTAATTCACTTCTGGTTAACTTTAATGGATTGTTTGCCTCAAAATGACAATTTACTCTCCATCTACTTACCCTCAAAAGAGATTGCAAACCTTTTTTCTGATGAACAAGAATGTTGGAGAATGGCCATTGACATACATATTAGGAAAAACAAAGAGTATGGAAGATAATGGCTATCGGTTGTCTTCCAGGAAATCTTCTTTTGTATTCAAAAGAGAAAAGAAATTCTTTAAAGTTTGTGAAGTGTGAGTAAATGATTTGACTCAGAATTATTATAATTTTTTTTTTGGATGAACTAACCCTTTAAACCAGTGGTGGGCAAACTTTTTAGACCCGAGAGACCACATCAAGTTTTGTAAACCAAGTGAAGGGCCAAATGTCAAATCCTTCAAAAAACAACTTTTTTATAGTGGCAGTCTGCATAGAACATTTAATATCAGACAGAAACATGTCACTTTAACCAAAACAGATTCAAATGAATTTTCACTGCTATTTATATTTATTATTACTTATCAATCATCATAAAACAATAAAATAATCCCTTATTCTGTAAATATAATAATAATAATAATAATAATAATAATAATAATAATGTAATAATTTTTACAGTGGAGAATAGAAAAGATATTGTCCGATAGAAAAAAAACACATCTATTAACACATTAAAAATAAGTCTTAAAGTTAATTATTCAGTCAAATTTACAATAATCTTTTTTTTTTATTAGAATATGCAAAAATCATACAAATACAAGAAAACATCAACAAATAACAAATACAAAGCAACGAAACAAAAACAACAACAATATAGTCATGTACTGGTATGTGCGTGTGAGTGTGTGTATGCATGTAAAGGTAACTTGGTGGACAGGTCAGAGTACATACATAAGGAACAATAACAGTCAATAAATGTAGCAAGTGTCACAGATATAGATAAAACATATAGAAAGAAACCAGTCAGAGGTAGGGAGTAACTACAATGCTTATTAATGTATGATAGTAAAAATGAGAGTAAAAAGAAAGAAAGGACAACAGTAATAAATGACAACAATAATAATAAATCACAAGTGCTACACAAACTACTACTACAGAAAGTTACTTATATTACAACTACTACTGCTTCTACTACAGCCACAACCACGACTACTACTACTACAATGTCTACTAATACTGATACTACTACAACGACTACCCCTACTGATACTACTATAGCGTTTGCTACAACTAATACAACAACGTCTACTGCTACTACTACTACTACTACTACTACTACTACTACTACTACTACTACCACCACCACCACAATCACTTCTACTACATCTACATCAACAACATCTACTACTGATATTACTACACCAACAACAACTACTACTACTACTGTAACAACCACACCATTACTACTTCTGCTACTACTATACCAATGACATCTACTACTACATGAACTACTACTTCAATAATATCTGTAACAATTACTCAAAAACAATCGTTACTTTTACAATGTCTACTACTTCAACTACTACTACTACTACTACTACTACTACTACTACTACTACTACTACCGCTACAACTACAACAACTGCAACCTTAATAATGATAATGGTATAAATACTTGTAATAATGATAATGGAAAGATAACGGGACAAGTCAGAACAGTAATAATAATAATGATAACAAAAAATAAAAGTAATACCATTTATGACAAAGGTGTCGAGGAGAGGGGAGGATGGGAAATCAGGGAGAGGACAAGTAATAATAATAATAAATAATAATAATAATAAATAATAATAATAGTAGTAAGTAGTAAGTAGAAGGGGAAAGAGAGGAAAAGAGAAAATAAACTAATAATAATAAATAAAAAAATAATAAAATAATAATAATAATAAAAATAAAAAAATAAAATAAAAAAAAAAAAAATAAAACAGAAAAGGAAGGGGAGGAGTAGAAGAAAAAGAAAAGAAACAAAAAGAGAAAAGAAAAATAAAGTTCAGCAAACAAAGCAATGAGAATAAGCAAAAAAAATGAATAATAATAATAAAAACTAAATAAATAAAAAAGAAAACACTATATCAATGCTAATTATGAATTATACAAACCCACATGGAAGAATAATATTAA